GGTGCAGGAGTAATAGGGAAAAAAACCTGGAGATGCTTCATTCTGCCTGTAATAGCAAATTTTTTATAAAATTACTTTCCGAGTATCGTGAAAATTATCTTATTTCTCTTTTAGAGATTCTCTTCGTTCGTTACACGCATTTAAAACATGGCCGCCGCTGCGCCCACGACACCCTAATTTACATAGCCGATAAATGCGTATACGTAGTACAGTATATATGTAAATGAGAAATTTGTATGCCAACGTATAAATTTGAATTTGATAAAATATGAAATACAAAGTATACTTTTTGTTATTTGTATTGAGGTTGAATATGCCGTGTATTTTTTTTCGCGGTAAAATATAGAAGGTTTGAATACGTATTATATCATTGACTATTGTTGTTATAAGCAATAAAAATGTGGCACTGTCCTGAAGCCAGGGTTCACTCGTATGTCGGTCACGAAGGGGTTGAAAGAAGATAAGTTATGAGGGTAAGTGTGTGTGAAGCTAAGCAGGGCTTTCTCAATGATTACTTTAGTGCATGGGTCGATGGTCCCCAAAAGATTATTCCTTGTTAATTTACTAAAACCCTATTATATTGTATGGTACTATTGCATTAACCCATATCAAACAGATTAATATAATCAGAATAGTATGAAATACGATAAAGGCTAAAGTGTATAACATCTGGTAACTAGGGTATTATTAACGTTGTTTATTAATTTTTTTTTCACGTTTTGTTTATTACACACTTAATGGCAAAATTTGAACAATGGCTCTTTAACGGGGTTCTTATATGGTTTTTGGATGATTACGGTTAAATTATGTTTCACGTTCTTACCACGGGGAGGCGCAACGATCGTGACGATTCGAAATCACGGAAAATTTAATTTCGACTCGTTATAACGTAATTATCGTTCTTATATAAATTTTTATCTTACAATTAAATATCCATTTGCACATTTTGGTTCAACGGCTGAGGATTAAGGGTTGATTTAAACTAGACCATTTTCGTTTATTAGTATTTACTGTTGAAAGTCCACCTGTTGTAACGAACTGTGAAAATTGTATTGTTAACGTTGAAGTAGCGGAGAATAAAATTTTCAATACATTCACAAACACGTAGTGATTTCTGCTTCGAATATTTACGTGACAATAATTCAGGCATGACGAAAATTTTCGTGAATTTATAGGTACTGCGTAAAATGAACTTCGGGGTTGCACGTACTGTGTAAATATCATTGTGACATGTTCCAACCCTAATTTCACTGGTTAGCACGTGACGCAGAATTTAGATTCACTAAGGGTGGTCACAGTGACAAAGCATGCCAGCGTGATAAGAAAATTTGTATATGTATATTATATTTGGGGCGAATATCGCAATTGACTATGAATAAGATTAGAATTATTAATTCGATTCAAATTAATTAATAGCGATTAATTAATTCTAATACAGCGATATGATTATTCGATTAAATTAAAAGACATCCATTATATTACACTTAGAACTACATTATTATGTCGATGTAGGGAATTTTCGATTAATTGCAAATTTTCATTCGCTCTGTTGCAGCACGTCGGAAAATTTCTAGAGTCTATCAACGAGATGCTACAACAAGCGGAAGATACGTCGAGTTAGCGAGTGCAAGGATGTTAGATAAGAAAAATAAGGTTATGAGAAAAGAAAGAGACACGAGCAAATAGCTAATATTAACAAAAATGTTTTAATAAGATTTTTATTGCCGGAAATTACGTATTACGATATTATATTTTCATAAGATTTTTCTCTTTTCACCATAACAAAAAAAAATATTGTTTTACCTTTACACAAGCATAGTAATATTCTCAGTTTGAGTACTGATATTTTTCTTAAAATAAGTTTTCTTATTTTAATAAGGCAAATCCAACCTGACCTGACCTAAATGTCTACCGCATACACGACAGTAATATCTACGGGAATCTCCTTTATTCACTTTATCTGGCTTTACCTCGCTATATATACCAAGATGCTGAATCATACAAAGGGCTAACTCACCCCAGCTGATTTATTAAGCAGAATCTTTCATTATACGTCACAATCGACGGATAAGGGATGAGATATGACCTAAGCATTTACGATCACAATACACGTGCGTCGCAGTCGTGGTCTGAACGTCCCCTATATTAAAGTAGGATTATATTAAATCCGCGATCATCCATAATTCCCGTCAACTCCTCCATAGAAAGTCACATCAGTCCTGCCAACGAAAGAAAAAAACAGAAAGAAAAAGTTTCACTCCAATACAACACTCGATAAATTTGTATCAATATCTGTGATAAAAGAAAGTAATTAATAACCCGCAGGTAGTTTCAGATAATACGTGCATCAGGAATAACAAATAAGTTGCTGGTTTGAAAAAATAGTGCGCGAGCATTCTCACTTTAAATGACACTGGTAGTAAGTTATAGTTCACCATAAATCAGGTAGGTGACCTAGTAGCGTTAGTAAAATGGCGTCTACGGGAGTGACGGGAGGATTTGTTTCAGGAGGATAATCTGATTGGCGTTTGTGTAAAGACAATAAATACAAAAGCATTACAAGTGTTCGGATAAGAAGATATCCGGAAACTTACGTAGATGAATGTCTATTATTATGAAGTGTGAGTGCTATTGAATTCGTCGTTTTGTCTTGTAAAATTCCATCGCTTCAATACGCGAATGGCCGCCGTAAATTATTTCATTCGAATAGACGTAAAATTAGCTCAACTAGGAATTACTGAGACGCGATGGAATAGAATTAGATTATCGCGTGTTTTCCGGCAAAGTTGGCCCTTTCTCTTCATGTTATGTCAGATTATCATGATGTGCGTCGTTCTACCCCAAAATTCGTGCCGAATTTTTTTCTGGCTGAGACGTGCCTACCTACAATGGATATCTGTACATACCGTTGTCAATCATCGTAATTCAAGAATGGCCTATCTTCAAACTGTAACAGGTATTCCAATTTCGTCTGACAATTGTGCACGCAAAGTTTATCCAAGACAGACATTCACTTGTCTTTTTTACCTATAGTCACGCCGCGACATTAGATATTCAGGCTAACCGTAGCAAAATCGTACATTAAACATTACTATGATTAATTTGAGTGAACCCAACTCAATATCGGTGTGATGTACTTGGTTGAAAATATTAATTTTCATGGCTAAACAGGTCATGGTAAAATCTATAAAATTCCTTGTTACATTTGTCAAAATCTAATGTCACGACACGACTATATAAGCGTTTGGCATTCGTTTTATGTCACGTGACATATACTTTGATTTACATTGATATCTTTTGAAATTCAAATTTACTCGCGTGTAACGTTCATTTCGGTCTTTCGATATTTATGGCAATACGACAGCGAAATTTCAACACAGGAAAAAGCCTATTAGCCTCTGCCGGGTCAACTTCTCGTTACTTCGTCATTCGTACAATTGTATTTTTACAATCTGTTAATTGAAGGGTATCCCTAAGTTCCTCAACTGTGTATCGTAGATATGTATTTGTCAAATGACGTAAACCCATCAATCATTTATTCCCCTAATGCACCAAATTTTAGTGAGATTGATAAGTTAAATTGACGTTCCTCTAATACGAATGGTAGACTTATGAATTTAGGATAAACATGAAACCGATATCCTGTTGAACCTTGTTCACAGATCGTATCAACGATTCAAGGTACTACAAACACAAGGTTTTGTGACCCAGGAATTAGCGATTATCACGGTGATTAAAGTAACGTGTAAAAATAATGAATTTAAAAAATTCTATCCACTCACGTGATTCGCAACTTTCGTACGTGAGGCAATGAAGTCTGTCACTGATGAATTTGGAGCGGTAATTATTCCGTGAAGGAAATGAACAGTTGGAATCCGAAATACAACAATATTTTAGTAAAGTAGAAAATGAAAGACTCGGGAGGAATGACTTCAACGCGATGGCAACAGTTGGGATCCTTTTTCTGCTTCTACTAAGGGTTGTTGTCATGGCCAAACAAGTCCTCACCCTCGTAATAGGATCAAGGACCGATCTTATCCTTTCTCTTTATAGACCATGGGTGACTCAGGAGCATTTTCCGATTTTTCACGTCGATAACAGAAATCCTTTTCGTAATTCAAACTCCATACGTGTTCATGGACTTTCTTAACGGAACTCACAAATTTTCTGACTTATGCTTGGGTCATATACATAGATTTACCTTCCACTGGCGCACATTGGACACGCATAATTATCACGCAATGGCGGATCATCTACCAACCTACACCTACGTAACTACGCATATAACACCTGGGCTACGACCTTTAAATCCAGTCCGATCTGGTTTAATTACAAACACGCTATTTTTTTAAATTCTTATCCCACCCTTGTGAAATAAAATCCATACCCACGAGATTATTACCTACCTTTATCTTCTTGCCAGTTTAATTTCACTGGTATATAGCTTTTGGAATGTGCATTTTTTTCAATTATTTTTATAATTGACATTCAAAATTCTCATGAACCCCCAACAATTTTCCACTGTATCATCCCCCAAAATTGTCATTTTCAAAAATTCATGGAGACCCAATTCACTGTATTTTCTCAATATACTTTTATATCAGATGTGCTATCTACGTTCTAAGCATGTTTTCAAAAATTCAGAATTAGCATATTGGACGAAAAAATTTTTTTATTCAAATTTAATGATAACCATAACCAACGTACCTATCAACCCCTAAACTGCATAGCGAACTGTATAAATAGCACGCACGTGGTATGCGTCTAGCATCTCATACATTTATTTTTCATCCCCTCCAAAATGGCTTCACTGTAAACGTATGCAAATCGCGCAATAGTCCTTTATATGCAGAGATAACGACGCGTCAGGATGCCAGGCATAAAGGAGAAATACTTTTTGCATCAAAGTTGCACAGAAGTAAGCGGAAGTATGCGCGCGTATGCTAATTCGCGAAAAAAGACCAGAAGGAAAAGTGTTGCTTTGCATAACATTCTCAGTGATGTTCCAACCAGTGATAATCCCGGTAACCCAGTGCACGACACAGAGACCTTTCACCTGCAGCGTCACCCCTATGAGACAGGAGAGAAAACAAAACAAATCGTTATCACGCAGACACCCCGGTCAAACCGAGTAACGATAACAATAGAACCCAACATTATTTGCCAGTAAAAGAATTTATTCATCCGCAAAATAATTATCGTAAAAAATATTTAAAAAACTATTAACGGCAGCAGTGGCCTTAAAAAATTAATTTTCGTTTTCAGGAAAAAAAGTGCATAGAACCTGTCATTTTCTTATGCACCAACCTATGCAGTTTACGGTTTCTCTATTGACAGTCTATATATCTATATTTTTTTCAACCTAATCACGACCTATATCAACAGTGATAACTTAACCCAACCTCAACTTGAGCTATGATCCCTAAAGTTTCTCAGTGCCGATCGATCACGATATTTCCTAAGGGACAAATAAAACCTTCAAAATAAGCAGAACGACGGGTATTTCCCATAGGAATCCCATAGGAATCCCATACACGCACATAGTATTTGGCGAACAAGTGATGACTGTGATTCCAGTCCTTTTGTCACTCTCGTGAGGATTTTGGTGATGGACATTTTATCCCAAGGAACGACACCTTCGATAGGTACAATTCTTGGGACATTTTTTCTGCGCCTTTTTTTCCTATTTATTTCAGCCTTCGAATTCAACCCAAGATTTGAAAAGCCATTTTATTAGTTTTTATTGCTTTCGCGCGCTTAACACTTAACACTTAACACTTAACACTTAATGCATCTCTGTCGACGTCTTTCGATGCTCTTTGTTGCTTCTTAACGCCACATTGTTTTAATGTATTTGGAATCAGCGAAGCTTTTTAATGCTTTTATGTACTTTGACTGTTGTCTGGTGGTCGAATATACCTATATATTGCGATAGTAACTTTAAGACTCTTTCAAAGAGAATTTGTATTTTACAGTGTTATGTATTGTTATGTGCCTTTATAATCTTCCTGCATGTACACAGCTGCGCTTCTATCTACACAGGATGCATAGGGTAAAGTATTTCCATGAACTTTACTGATAAGTACTTTGGTGTTGCATAACACTGTATATCAGGGGCGTTTGAAATTTTCATACGTCTCGCAACTGCACTGTGGAAGTCGGTATCCTGTTTACGAACATATGCATATATTGTACACAAGCATCCGTTTGGCGGGTAATATTAATTAATTATAAATAATTGTTTTTTTTTTTCGCTATCGCAGATTAATTAATTGGGCCTAATGGACAGATGGTAAATAAAAATTATCGATAGATAGGAAATTCGTGTAAAAGTTTTTTTTTGAAATTTTTGCAATTTTACATTTATTTTAGCATTTCGAAATGCATATAAAAATTAAGTATTGATATTTTCGTTTCATTGTTATTCTGCTATCTGTTAAGGGTACCTTTTTATTTACTCAGCAGGTACCTTTTACGGCATCAACATTTCCTGCAACTGTAATCTATATTGATTTGCATACGATGTCTGGAGTTGCAAAATTTTCGCAAGCACGACTGGTCAGTGGAGATATTGATCCGGAACTTTAGTGTTATCGACATTGGTAATTGAAGTTGAACACGTGAGACACGCATCGATTGTACATTATGCTTTGCACAATGAGAAGGTATGAAATTACATTGCATTAAAAAATTTAAATTATTCAAAAACATGAGAGAGGTAAATTTTGGTGAAACCAAGAAAACGCGTGAGATAAAGTTATAGAGGTAAAATCTTAAAAAAATCCTTAAGCGACCGTGTATACGTGTATAAAACGTAAATATAAACTTTCACGTTTCGCGTGATTGACGTAGCAACGTAAATCTGCGAATTTCACGTGAAACGTAAAATAAGCATTGCGACCTGTATAACCGAATATTAGGAACGTCTACGTAGAAGCCCAATGAAAATTGACCGTATATTTATACCCGTTGAAAAATTTCATATCGCAAGGAACGCACGTTTTCTCAAGCTAACGATGTACCAAAAATTTCCAAAGAGATTTTGACGTAAGTTTTTCTATGAATATATATACATATATATCTTTTTTCAAATTTCCAATTTCCCCAATTAAATATATCAAAGTGCATACGAATAACCGAGTCTTTCATACACAGGAGTGCACATGCATATGGATGCAGTTATATGCAGTCACGTTATTCGACTTCTAATGGGTGTCCATTGCCACACCTGCAGCTGCATTTGATCGTTCGGTCAGGCCGTTGACACAAGGAGGACGGATGTTGCCGAGAGAAATGAAAGAACTAGAGGAAGGATACGGCGAATGAGAAAAGTTCGATCAAAGTTAGTTGGGTATAGTGCGACAGGCAATTACCCATTGACGTAATGGCACAAGGGAGAAAATGTACTATGTACTATTATAGAGCCAAGAATAATTTCTAAGCTACCGAGAAAATCGACTGGACGTAGGTTAACTTATACACCTGGCAGTAACAGTATATAGTACCAGTAGTACCAGCCTTACTAGATACTGGTAGTACTAGCGGTACTAGATACTGGTAGTACCAAAAGTACAAGCAGTAGAAGTAGCAGTAGCCGTAAAAATATTTATCACCTCATATATCAAAGCCACGTGCTAATTCAATATTTAGTACACCGCCTGTCAAAAGAGGCCCAACTGAATTAGACAAGTAGATCCTTTGAATTGACGTGAAAAACACGTGACTCGTTCCGAATCAATAATTAAATATTCTATCAGTACTATCTTACTACGTAATCGCCTTATCAATAATCTATAATATATTTTTTGACGGAACATCGTCAACAATGTCCATTCGAATTGTTGATGTTTTTTCGTGATTTCTTGTGCGATCCAATAAATTCAAATCGATAGATTTCGCCGGATGGATATCACGCACAATTTGGACGTTACACGTGTACTTTGTACATTTTGAGTATGTCGGAATCGGTTTTTTTTTGTATTGCCTTGTTACCCAAGCTTTGTCGGTTGAAAAATATTCAAATGTTCTCCCTTATCTGTATGTCTGATTGATACGCCATGCGTCTGTCAATATATCTATATTCGCGTCTCTTGTGAAATAAGTAAATTTCGCAATGGCCTTCGGCGGCTACGAGCTACAATAGAGAACGAATAAGCGCGCAGTCAATCCGCCCCAAATTGTTCACGATCGAGTAGGTATTGTGCCAGAATGAAAATATACAATGAAATAAGAATAATAGTATACATGCGAGAAAAAAAAGATTACAAATATCTTCGTCTGAGTCTGGCACGTATTTAGATGCAAATTTATCGATAACGCTGAACGTAATTGAATTTCGGAAAGCGATAATAATAATTATATCGTATCAATTTTTTTTAATTTTATGTATTTTCAATTAGCTTACGCAAGTAGTAATGGATATACATATAGTGCCAATGTGATATTATTTTCCCATGAGCATTCGCCATTAGCCAATTGATATATCCAAGTGGAAGAGCGATGTCTATCGTGACACGAGTCTCAAAGGAAAAGTCAAAGTAAAAAATGTGAAAAGCGTCAGAAGTTCACGCTGTCGGCAAACACGGCCTTTATTTACGCTACAATGCAAATTTCCATTAGAGTTCAATCAACTGCCTTGCCCTGAATGTATTATCGAGAAGTGAAATGAAAAAAGAGAAGCCGAGGGATAATACTCGTACGTCATAGAGACACCGCGTTAAATCACAGGGTGAAATATTTCGGTGAGTTGTAATAAAGAATGAAAAATTAAGAAAAAAAATAAAAAATAAAAATGTAGAAAATAAAAAAATAAACATTCAGACGCCTTGGAAATTCGCGTGTCTCTCCGCACTATACTCGCGAGGGAAAGCTGCAAAAATTTCTTCACCGTCTCCTCTGGCTTAAAGGGGATGATTTCGAGAAGATTGAATTTGACGTGAAATTTCTTTTGCGAAATTAATACACGGCTTATTGTTGATATCCGAAGTCAATCAGTGGATGATAAATAAAGCGCGAATATTCATCCGAGTTAATGCAATCGTATAATGTATTCACGTGTCAGCCGTTTATTCTTGGACGTGAAATGATTTATCGATCTCTACAAATATTTTCCTCGAAGGCATCAAAGATATTTATAGGGCGATTACACAGGGTGTTCCTGAAGTATCGGAAGAACAAATTTTCCTGCGAAACTCGGACGGATGACGGAACTTAGTAAAAATGTGAAAAGAAATACAGAAATTGGGTACGTAATGACGTAAGTATATTTAAAAAGAAACGAAAGTCTTATTTTTCCATTAATTTTTTGTTCGTTTCGATTCGTCAACACCAATTTACTCTCGGTCTGTTTCTTTCAGACATTTTCATCGAGCGACGTTGTACCATCCCTTACATTAAGTTACGAGGGTGCTGTACCTTAAAAAGGGAAGGCAATTAAGAGGAAAAAAAATTACATTGAATTCTCTTCTTCGACAGAATGCATTAGGGTGTATCTCTATATATAAATATATAGATTCATTATCCATTGGAAAATATATATTGACAGTTAGGGGATGAATTTTGCTACGGCTCTGACGCAATGAACTTCGATCAGAAGCAGCCATTTTGAAACTTCAGTATCTCAGCAACAACAACTTTATTTTCTGCTTACGCCGGAGCTTCGTTAGAGAAAGAAGAATGGAAGAGAGAGAAAAGAAGAGAAAACATCAGCCTCGACTTAATTCAAGCATCGACAGCCGGCAAACACAATGGAAGCGTACAACCATCGCAGATTTAGCGCAGGAAATAAGAGGGATGGTATTCCCTGTTCCTTACGCCCTTCATTCGGACTTGTCGACGGAATTGGGCTTATGGGAACTTTTGCAAAAGATTGAATTCACCCCAAAGTACCGCCAGTTGATTTTGCTAACCGTTACTGTTCGACGTTTTTACAGACTCGTTTATTACCATCCACCAACCCCCCGGTGTCACCCTTGCTTTGTTTTCGCATCCCCCGACAGACACCAAGAGACCCATTCAAATGACTTTAGGGTCTTTGAAAAGGGATAATAGTAAGCAGCCCACGTTACGATTCCTTTGCTCGTGAATCCGAACTTTTTTTCTACCCTTCATTCCCGGGTTTTCGTAATGAACTTTAAATACCGAAATAAATTGATCCAAGTCGATTATTTATCTTGAGGTCGGAGCGGTCTTTTCAAACGTAATAAAAGATAAATGACTTTGTCAACCGTGCAACGAATGCACTTTGCAGCTGAAACTTAAACGTCACGCAACATTTAAATGATACCAATTAAACCCTAGAACGAATTGATAAGTCAAAGTACCATTCTCTTAATTCATTTCCATATTAAGAATTATATCAAAGACACGGTACGACGATGAAAATAAATTCTTGTACACCCTGTATAAAATTTGTACAGGTAGACATTAGCTATTTCCTACTATAGAAAATATACGTGTAAGGCAATGTAAAAGAAAATTGAATCGTATACGTACTACAATATGTAAAGATAAATTGTATATGGCGATATCTTATTAAGCTTCGTTTTCAATACATCAATTTGCGAACCTCTATGTATTCATTTTATGCTATTAACAAGTGAACCGAATTTCCAGCCGGGGGATCAACTTGGCTCGAAGCTGTTCCGTAGGCTTGCCAATCTAAAGCGGACGTATCCAACGTTTAATTAACGATACTGCTAATTGGTGGGCAATCATCTATCAATGCGGATAGTCCTTACGTTATCTGGCTATTGTAATTCTACACTGATGCTCATTCGATACACTGCCTATTGCTATCGATCGCTTTTTAGTTAAATACCAGAATAATCGATTGCCGATAAGATCCATACGTACAATCAGTTTACCATCAATGAACTAAGCTATAAAAAATTCAAATATGTGTATATATATATATCAGCTACTAAATAGCCGTCAAATGGGCTTCAAGAAAAATAGTCATAATAATTAATTGCTTATATAGGGAAAAAATACAAATATATGAGCGACAAGATATTTCGAAAAATTTGAATTTTATCTAATAAAGGTAAAAGGTAAGAAAAATATTAGTAGATAGACGTAGGGAAAAAAAATATTTATTCAATAGTCGGACTCGTCGTGGATTCTGATGTTTTTCTGTTATTCGTACAGTTGATCGATTGTCTCGTGAATTTCTGATATATGGGATTCGGGTAAATCTAATTGTCATCGTCACTGTCTTTTGCGAAGCGTATCGATTTGGGTATATTCAGAGTACACTGTATTCGATATATCATAATTAATGTTAAACTGGTACTTGAGACAGCACTTGGTACTATAATTAAAATCGTTTATGAAAGTATCTCGAATTTGATATACGAAATTCTGGAAGCGTGCAATGGAAAACGGTTGTGGTAAACCAACATGGCAACGACTTCGGTATTAATAATCTGTACGACGTAACTCCTCTTGCTTCCTATTGGCTCGTATAGTTCGACCCTGTTACCTTCTCAAGTTATTCGCCCTGATCGTGTTCGCAATCCCCTTTAGAATTTCGCGGAGTTAATTTGCCTGGAAGACGCTTTACAGCTGGATATATTCTGGGTAAAATAATTTATTCTATTTATGTTGAGATGAAAATTAGGTTGCGATTATTTTTTTATTTTTTTTTCATTTACCACCCACATTCACGCACAACCAGCTTACGATAACGGTGGTTGTACGTCTTTTCTTTTTTAGTTTTTCCTTTGAGAATTCGCTAATTCAATAAGTCTATGCCTTGTCGAGCGTTACTACTGGAACAAATGGAGTAGAAAGTTTAGCTTTTAGTCCGCCTGACTTGTTTTTCTTGTCGTTGGGACAGACAACTGTACTAGACAGTAACTTATGGCTGTACGTTTTGTCCCATGATTTTTTTATCAGGTACCGGATACTAATACCATTTTAAGCGGGATATTTGAATCGATCTTATACACGAAAACCTATACTTTGCGATAAGTGTGGGTTATTATTATTGAACCTTTTTTTTGGTTTTGGAAAAAAAAAAATTTCATCTCAATTTTCAATTTTCCAAAAGGATATTAAGGCGGATATTAAATGGCGGAAGGTTACTAGGAAGTTTCTTTTCGGTGTGATCGACCTGCCTTGTATGCAACTGTTGGTGGAATTTAGCGTGATACGGAACAATTAGAGCGCGTTTGTAACTTCTTGCTGCTTGTTAAGAGTTTCATTAAGAAAGTTTAACTTGCCTTCTTACTCTCAAGCTACAGCTTGATAATACCATTTTCTGGGAAGTTATGAGCATTACGGTATATTTTCGAGAATTCGAATCTGTTTTATCCGCGAATTTTGGATTGGAGTATATTATATGGTCGAAGTGGAATTTTGATTGGTGATATCCATGTGTTACACGCGAACGCGTATTACAACTTATTTTATTAAAGCATCTCGCTATCTAACGACAAGACATGACGTCTAAATTTTGTTCACCTGTAATTCTTAGACAGGGTAAATCGATATATCGATCCTATAAAAAAATTTCGATATAGTCACAAGGACCCGATTTATCCGATTGTCGTATGAATGAAAATTCAATTTCTTTTTTTTTTTTTATATAACTTTTAAGAATATTCGGCACGTAACACGAATAAATATACAAACCTTGGAATATTAATTATCCTATTCAGCACTTGTACCACTCGAGCACGTCCAGCAAAATTTCTATACAGCTTGAAAACCCATCGAAAAAAGCCACTTTCAATGGTGAGACAAAGAATATCGAGTGCCATTCAAGTTCGATATTCAGTTTTGAATAAAGAAAAATAAAAAATCGTCTCACTCAAATTACGCTTAACCAATTGAGATTTTTTATATTTTTTGTACAAATTGAAAAAAAAGAAATTATTAAGACAGAAACAAGAGCGTTCAGGTTAATTCGTCCTAGAACGTTCACCAAGATTGCGTTGAAAATACGCCATACAGTTGTGCCTGTTAACCGCGAGCTCAGCCAAGAATAAATCCAGAACAATGGATGCTGCACGGAAAAAAATTTTCTACGTCAGACAATAACGGAGCCACTTGTTACACTCGACGCGATAGAAACTGTTTCCGCGTGATAAAATTAAGACGAGAATAATGAGAGAAAAAAATATTTTGAAAATCAACCCAAAAATGTATCTACGAAAAAGAGACAAAAAAATCGGAAGAGAATACTTGCTATCCGTACTGTAGAAAATTCGTAAGACTGGTAACAAATTTGTAGAGAATATTTTTGAAAAAAAAAAAGAAAATAATTTTGCGTATTATCTCCAGACAAAAATATCTCGATAAAAAAAATTAACCAACCGGTACTTTGGTGCACGAGGTAATACACGAGTCTTTTTCTGCACGAAGTTGGTATTAAATTTTATCCATAAAATCGACTTCGCCTAGGGTCTTGATTACGATGTAAAAATATACGAAGGATCGAAAAATTTTATATTTCCAGTATCACTGAACTGTCTCGTTTTTTAGTATCTTAATCACATAAAATACTTATGGCCTTGTCGGCTTTGCGATGACAACCGAAAGCACTGTACCACCGTATGTATTTCTATACGGTATAAGTATCAGGGGTAACTTTATAGAAGTCAGTGGATTTTGGGTAAAACTCTCACGTAACGCGACACCCACGCTCTTGAGTAATCCACATATCACGAGTAAATTTTTCATTACACGAAGTACAAGGATACAAGTTACAGGTGAAAAATTTTTATAGTAAATTTTCAAAAAAAAAAAAAAAAAAGAATCACCATAAATCGGCTTCGTCGAATAAACCGTGCGTGTAATTTGTCCGTAAAAAAATGGTGTAAATAAAAGTTCCTCGACAATCACCAATTAATAAATTTAATGAGCTACAAATGAAAACGGTCGTGTGCACTGACCTTTATTTCTCGAGCTGTTAGTAGACCGCGCGGGAAGCTCGTCTCATGTCAGGACGAAGAATCGACGCTTGCTGAAGGATTTAACGACAGGACCTCGTGATCCTGAAGGAATCCTGGCGCGCTCTGTGTCCAGGAACAGCGTCGCGCCGTCGCCGACGCCGACGTCCGAAGGAGCGTCGTGCACCTGCGCTCTCTCAAGAGAACATCCCCTACCACGTAATTCCGTCAAACCAGGGCCCACTACGACCTCCCACGGTTTCGTCCGGCACCCTCCCTAGCACCCCCCCCCCC